GTGCAAGAGAGGGGGCTTGGTTTTGGATACCCCTGGTTGGTGGGAGTGAGGCAAGGTCAGTGTGTTTAAGGCGGCGGGGAAGGGAGGTTGTGAGTTAAGATTGGACCTTATAAGGGGCAGCACTTGAACCAGTACTCACAATTCTGTTGCACGGACAACAGAATTTGCATTGCAACTAGAAGAGTCAACTTTGCTATGCAATGAATCCCTGCTACTCGTCGATGTGCGCTTTATAAACGACGGAAGTTGAACCAACGAGTTGTAATTTGCAAGGCAACTAGTCACGGATACTAAAGTTGAGGTTGACGCTGATGTTGAGAGAAAACGGGAATCCGCTTACTGACACACTTGCTTGAAATTGAAATAAGTTTATTGATGTAAAATACACACAAAGGCCACTATTACGCATGAGGTAGCTCAAGCTATTCTCACACCGTTCAGTACATCGTGTTAATACATACATAGACACACATCATAAACAATAAACATATTACCGAACATTCTGAGAGATAAACATATACATTTCCTCCTTTACACAAGTAGTATGGTATCAGACGTACACACAAATACTCTATGACCTAGGTCACTTGCTTGTGCAGCTGACTGAACAAGGGCAGTGATGAACACCCTAAGAAAGTGAAGGTGTTCCCTGGATTGTTTCAAGGGAATGATCAAGAGGCCGAGATATGTTTCAAGAAACAAATCCCTTGATTGTTTCAAGCGTAGGTTAGACATATATATATGAATAAGATTGGGTTGATTTAAATAGGAGCTGCCTCGTATGGGCCAATAGGCTTTCTACAGTTATCTTCATTCTTATGTTCTTATGACTGGCCGCTATCGTGGTTTTGTTGCTTATTTGAGAAAAAAATAAGAAGCCGCTCCTAATATCTGCAATATTTATTGCTGATAACAGCTCCTTGTGACTGTCAAAAGGCAAATTGTTTAATAATACTTTTACGAACTTTCCGACACTACAGTCGAGTCTTTGGAAAACTCATGTGCTTTTTTTCCCAGTGATAAACTAAGAAGAATTATTGCACTATATTGCTTATTCATCAGACCTATTTGCCAGGCTGAGTAAGATAATATACACAATATGATAATATGAGGTGTGTCGAGTGCTTGGCTTAAAGGGAGGGAGCCGGTCGGCCGAGCGGACAGCACGCTGGACTTGTGATCCTGTGGTCCTGGGTTCGATCCCAGGCGCCGGCGAGAAACAATGAGCAGAGTTTCTTTCACCCTATGCCCCTATTACCTAGCAGTAAAATAGGTACCTGGGTGTTAGTCAGTTGTCACGGGCTGCTTCCTGGGGGTGAAGGCCTGGTCGAGGACCGGGCCGCGGGGACACTAAAGCCCCGAAATCATCTCAAGATAGGTGCGTGGGGTGTGAACTAACTCTTCTGTTTTCCAGCGACGTGAGGTTTAGTTCCCGTAGTCTCTCCTCGTAGCTCATACCCATCACCTTGGGTACTATACAGTCTGGTGACAAACCTCTGAACCTTCACCAATTTAGTCTTATGCTTGACGAGATATGGACTCCATGCTGGAGCTGCATACTCCAGGACTGGTCTGACATATGTCGTATACAAGTTTGTGAATGATTCCTTACACAAGTTACTAAAGGCCGTTCTTATGTTGGCTGCTGGACACTGCTGGTCTGAAGACGCTTCAGCATAGATTTGGGTTCAGTCTGCTGCGTTGCAGACAGAACCCAAATCTACAAATTAATCTGTATTAATAATAATAATAATAATAATAATGTTTATTCAAGTAAAGGAACATACATACAAAATAAGTTACAAACAGAATGTTGAATGTCTAGACAGAGCTACTGTATACAATACCTAAAGCCACTACAATACACACAGCGATTAAGGCAGCGACAATGTCTGATAACCAGGTGGTTACTTCAACTGGTATCGTCCCTCAAGGCTGCAGTTGATAAACACAAATAGTACAGCAATGTGGGAATTACTGGAACTTAGAGTGAGCGTCTGTCTCCCTTAGATATAGATACCTGACTGAGATAAACCCGTGTTTATTTAATAACCTGGGTACACCCTCGTTTATACAGCTGCCCCTAGATTACATAGAGGGTTACATAGTTTGTGTCAAGAGCTATCTATAGGTTCGTGATGTTAAAAGATCCTCATCTCGTCCTCACGCCAGACTTGTTAATGCAGCGGCCGTCTTCAGGCTAGGCTTTTTAATGCACCGGCCGTCCTCCAAGACGCACTCGTCAATTTTAACGCACTGCGCATTCAAAATTAGTCTTTTGTCAAATATAAGGTAATATTATTTCACACTTGAATGCGCTGAATAGTAACAGACTTAGCGCGGTTTAGGTTAGGTTCTGTTGACCGTTATTGGTGTGTGTACTACGGGGGGGGGGGGAGCATTTATTGAGGTGGGATTCGAGCGGAGGACATGAGGGAAGCCCTGCTCGAGGATACATGTATCAGTTGTGAGTCGATTACAAGAATACATGCACCAGTTGTGAGTCAAGTACAAGGATACATGCACCAGTTGTGAGTCGAGTACAAGGATACATGCACCTGTTGTGAGTCGATTACAAGAATGCATGCACCAGTTGTGAGTCGAGTATAAGGATACATGCACCAGTTGTGAGTCGAGTTGAAAGTGTTTTCCACTCATAAACAGGCGACTTGATGGGTAGAAGAATGAGAATTTAGCTTCCGTTGATGAGGAGGGGTTGAAAAACTTAGTTAAATACACACGTCTATTGCAGTATTAAAACCCGTAAATAGTATATTATATATATATATATATATATATATATATATATATATATATATATATATATATATATATATATATATATATATATATATGTTGTACCTAGTAGCCAGAACGTCGTGCTCGGCCTACTATGCAAGGCCCGATTTGCCTAATAGAATTTTCCAGAATTTATATATTTTTCAATATTTTTTTATGAAATGATAAAGCTATTCATTTCATTATGTATAACTTAATTTTTTTTAAATTTGAGTTAAAACTAACGTAGATATATGACCGAACCTAACCACCCTACCTAACCTATCTCAACCTAACCGAAAATACCATTACTAAATAAAAAAATTATGTTCCTAATATATATAAAGATAATATTTAAAGTAAACCAATAGGAAACAATTTTTTGAAGATAAGGAAAATCACTCGCCCTATTAGGCAAATCGGGCCTTGCGTAGTAGGCCGAGAAGTGCGTTCTGGCTACTAGGTACATCTATATATATATATATATATATATATATATATATATATATATATATATATATATATATATATATATAAAACAAGCTAAACCCGAGCTTTGCGCGTGATTTTAGGATGGTCAAAAGCCACTGAATCTTCAGCCTATAAGTTAAATTTATCGTAATGCTTTAACTAAGAAATTTGGATTTGTTGGAAACTTAGTTACATATATGTTTATAGTTGCCCAACACTCAATCCAATTTTCAGGGATGAAAAGTTACATTCATGTGCTCTCTATTATTAGCAAACTGGAGACAGTTTGGAGAAATTTTCTGGTAGTATATAATCTTGAATTAAATATGTAAACATTCCTTAAAAAAAACTTGCTATAGAATTAATTATAATTTCTTGAATGTTTTCACATTTGATTACATTCTGCATAGTGTGTGTAAACCTATACGGATACAGTTTACATTTAATCCGGTCAACAAAGTCAAGTAATGGACATTATAGCCTAGTCTAAGCCGCGCAGCAGTAACATCTATAAGAGACATAATTCTGCTTGCTGGGGTTGAGCTTCGGCTCCGTAGTCCCGCCTCTCAACTGTCAATCAACTGGTGTACAGGTTCCTGAGCCTACTGGGCTCTATCATATCTACATTTGAAACTGTGTATGGAGTCAGCCTCCATCACATCAATGCCTAATGTGTTCAATGAGAGAGAGTATTAATATGGTCTCATTAATGTGGTTGAACATTAGACACTTAACCCACAATTCTGAAATCGAAGAAAATAACGACGTTTATTACTGTTGGGTTTCGGTCCGTCTTGGACCATTAAGAAATGGTGTAAAGAAAGAATAGGAGAGAAAGTCAATATATAAGGTAAGAATGTGAGGTGAGAGGCGACAAAAAAGTAAAGAATAGGCCTAAATAGGAATAAAGAAAGGAACCGAAGCCCAAATGGGGAGAAGAAAGAAGTGAGATAGAGGCAGAAGAGACAGTAACGAAAGAGAAGGAAAAGACAGGTCAAAGGGGCTAAAAAGCCTAATCAGATCACGTTTGTTTAGAAAGTTGGAGCATTTAACTATATATTCTGAAAGGTAAGTGTCAACAGCAACTAAGCCAAGACTAAGGTTCATGTTGGGTATGTTGTGTACCAGAGCATGTTGGGTATGTTGTGTACCAGAGCATGTTGGGTATGTTGTGTACCAGAGCATGTTGGGTATGTTGTGTACCAGAGCCCGTTGGGCATGTTGCGTACCAGAGCATGTTGGCATGTTGTGTACCAGAGCATGTTGGGCATGTTGTGTACCAGAGCATGTTGGGCACGTTGCATACCAGAGCATGTTGGGTACGTTGCATACCAGAGCATGTTGGGCACGTTGTGTATCAGAGCATGTTGGGCATGTTGTAAGAGAGAGAGAGAGAGAGAGAGAGAGAGAGAGAGAGAGAGAGAGAGAGAGAGAGAGAGAGAGAGAGAGAGAGAGAGAGAGAGAGAGAGAGAGAGAGAGAGAGAGAGACTGAGAGAGAGAGAGAGAGAGAGAGAGAGAGAGAGAGAGAGAGAGAGAGAGAGAGAGAGAGAGAGAGAGAGAGAGAGAGAGAGAGAGAGAGAGAGCAACACAGAGAGAGAGAGACACAGAGAGAGAGAGAGAGAGAGAGAGAGAGAGAGAGAGAGAGAGAGAGAGAGAGAGAGAGAGAGAGAGAGAGAGAGAGAGAGAGAGAGAGAGAGAGAGAGAGAGAGAGAGAGAGAGGGGGGGGGGGGGAGGGTAGGGAGGGGTGTCAACGCCGAGCCTGATATCGGCGGGTGTCAGTAGAGAGGAAGCAGCTGAAGCAGCCACAGAGGACGGTGTACGCAGCTCCACCACCACCACACGCCCTCCCCGCCACCATGACCGACTCCCAACACAGAGGTAAGCCCTCCACATGTACTCACACACACCTGCAACATTGCACAATGCAACCTGTGTATGTGATTTTCTCAGCTGGGTGTGCTATGGAAAAATTGTATTTGCGTCCCGTGTCTAAAACTTTTGTGTGAGAAGTGTTCTGACGCAAAGAAACGTTTTTCATTTGTTCATTTATTATGCAAGGCGTAGTTTGGCATGCACGCCATCCCACCAACGGGATAGCGCCCAGTGGCGGAACACATACCCATCCCTTGGGCGATGGTGGACCCCATTCCAGTAGTTCTGTGGGCTTGGATGGACCCCATTCCAGTCGTTCTGTGGGCATGGGTGGACCCCATTCCAGTCGTTCTGTGGGATTGGGTGGACCCCATTCCAGTCGTTCTGTGGGCATGGGTGGACCCCATTCCAGTCGTTCTGTGGGATTGGGTGGACCCCATTCCAGTCGTTCTGTGGGCTTGGGTGGACCCCATTCAAGTCGTTCTGTGGGCTTGGGTGGACCCCATTCCAGTCGTTCTGTGGGATTGGGTGGACCCCATTCCAGTCGTTCTGTGGGCTTGGGTGGACCCCATTCCAGTCGTTCTGTGGGATTGGGTGGACCCCATTCCAGTCGTTCTGTGGGCATGGGTGGACCCCATTCCAGTCGTTCTGTGGGATTGGGTGGACCCCATTCCAGTCGTTCTGTGGGCTTGGGTGGACCCCATTCCAGTCGTTCTGTGGGCTTGGGTGGACCCCATTACAGTCGTTCTGTGGGCATGGGTGGACCCCATTCCAGTCGTTCTGTGGGCTTGGGTGGACCCCATTACAGTCGTTCTGTGGGCATGGGTGGACCCCATTCCAGTCGTTCTGTGGGCTTGGGTGGACCCCATTCCAGTCGTTCTGTGGGCTTGGGTGGACCCCATTCCAGTCGTTCTGTGGGCTTGGGTGGACCCCATTCCAGTCGTTCTGTGGGCTTGGGTGGACCCCATTCAAGTCGTTCTGTGGGCTTGGGTGGACCCCATTCCAGTCGTTCTGTGGCATGGGTGGACCCCATTCCAGTCGTTCTGTGGGCATGGGTGGACCCCCATACCCATCACGTGGGTGTATAGTGAGGGTTACAGAGCCATACAATGCTCACTGGAACACAATGCCGAAGTCATTTAGCTAAGCATGTAACACTGTGATCAACTAGGAACACAGAACACCAACAGCCACTGTGGCTCAAGGACTGGATCAAAAAACAATTACGCAATTGTTGTTGTCCAACGCACCAGTTGTGTCCGGTGTTGCTGGCCACTGTCCAAGGAGGAACTACGGACCTGGACAAGCAACATATCCACGAGGTAATTCAACGTTCAATCAATAATATCAACTTTGACATAATGTAATTCTTGGATGCTGGGGGGAGCATCCCACATTTCGTAGCAAACAAGGTCACTATAAGCACAGGTGACTACGTGACAAGTTACAGTGGTCAGCGCAGTCGTCTCACCACCGAAGGGTCCCGGGTTCGATTCCCGGGAAGTATGTTGTTGTTGTTAAAGATTCGCTACCTGGAACAAAAAGTTCCAAGTAACACGAGCTATGGTGAGCCCGTAGATAGTTATTCCAGGAAGCACAGAGATGTTTCCTTTCATCTGATACGACTGATAACCTAACAGTATTATGGGTACGCTGAGTTAGGCAATTGTTGTGAATTGCATCCAGGGGAAGTTGAGCAGTTATCTCAGGCCGTGAGAGGCCCACGGTGAGCCACTAGCCAGGCCTCCTCTTCCCGGTAATGGTAAAATGAGAAGGTAATTACTTAATCATGTAATCACATATATGAATGTCGATTTTTGTTAATTGGTTAACTTGTGAGGCTCAGGTGATGTGTTTCGTGTACTCACCTAATTGTACTCACCTAATTGTGTTTGCGGGGGTTGAGCTCTGGCTCTTTGGTCCCGCCTCTCAACTGTTAATCAACTGGTGTACAGATTCCTGAGCCTATTGGGCTCTATCATATCTACATTTGAAACTGTGTATGGAGTCAGCCTCCATCATATCACTGCCTAATGCACTCCATTTATTAATTACTCTGGCGCTGAAAACGTCCTTTCTAATGGCTCTGTGGCTCATATGGGTACTCAGCTTCCACCTGTGTCCCCTTGTTCGAGTACCACCCGAGTTAAATAATCTCTTCTTATCTACCATATCAGTTCTGTTGTGGTTGTACTTCTAATGTGGCTCTACAGTAATTTGGGCTCGGGCTTTGTTTTCTCTGTTATGTCATTTCCGTACTGTCCTTGTGCTTCTAGTCTCGGTAACCCTCTTCTAATTATCTCTGGATAATTTTAGATTTAGGAAAGACTTGGGTAAATACTGGTTCAGTAACAGGGTTGTTGATTTGTGGAACCAATTACCGCGTAACGTGCTGGAGGTGGGGTCCCTCGATTGTTTCAAGCGCGGGTTGGACAAGTATATGAGTGGGATTGGGTGGTTATAAATAGGAGCTGCCTCGTATGGGCCAATAGGCCTTCTGCAGTTGCCTTTGTTCTTATGTACCCTGAGGTACTCCTTCCTGGCCCACTGTGTTGTGGAAGAGGACATCAGAGAGCAGAGGATTCTTCCTCTTCTCTCGGATGTCCTGTTATTCCTAGTGTCTCCATGCCCTTGTTCTCAGTTGCTGTGCCAGCATACATTCCTGATTAAAACATGGGTTCCTCATTTCCAATTTGTTTCTCTTTTGGGCTGGGACAAACATGTCTGCTGCCTCCTGTCACATCTGGGGTGATGCAGTCCATCATTTCTTGTGTAACCTTTCTCCCGAGCTCTGTTACCTCATGGTTTTTCTGTTAGAAATTTTCTTATCTCCTGGTATTTTCCTTGTCCGTATGTCAGCCTTTTGCTTTCTGTTTCCCCCCTTCCTTGAGTAAGTAATCCCTATTTCTACCATGTACTCAAACATCAATACACTGTGGTGATGGATTCCAACGGGGGCTACGTGCTACGGCTACAATGCGGGTCTACGAAGTGGGTTTCCCTTATGCCTGAATCATTCAAATTACATACCAGGTCAAGTCTAGCTGGTTGGTCATTGCCTCTCATTCTTGTGACATGTTGGCTTAAAATGTTTCTAGCTGCCACGTCCAGTAGTTTAGCTCGCCATGTTTCCGTACCCTCGTGTGGTCCTTTGTTCTCCCAGTCTATCTTTCCATGGTTGAAGTTTCCCATGATAAGCAGACGGGAACGATTTGTACAGGTGACGGAGTCTGCTGTTTCAATTAGAGTAGTAACCGTCATGTTGTTTCTGTCATACTCCTCGCCCTGGGCCTTTTACCTGATTTACCTGAGGGCCACTAACACCAGTGGCCTCGACGAGGACAGGAAGCCGGCGGCTTGTCGAAGGTCGCCCCCACCCCCTCCATTGTCCTGATGATCGTTTCCAGTTTGACATTAAAATTTAACAGAATTTTGGCATTTACGACTTCGTCGGGTTTTGTCATTTAGTGGAGTGTTATATATTACTGCTACTGCTGCTCTTGGTCCTGCCGTCGTCATGATGCCTGTTACGTAGTCTCTGAACCCTTCGAAGGATGGACCACTCCTTCTCCTCCGTTCCTTCCCTCTAATTCCTTGTTACAGTGTAGTCCTTGGGGAAACACGGCAGTTGTTATGATACCTGACAATTTTGTTTCAGCAAGTGCTATTACATCAGGGTTGAATTCTTGTGCTCTTTCCCCAAGTTCACTCGTTTTGTTCGTAATCCCATCTATGTTTGAGGACATTACTTTGAAGATCTCTTCCTGCCCGATCTCAGTTACACTCGGTGTCCCTGGGATGGGAGGGCAAGGAGGGTCTTGTGTGTGTGTGAGAGAGAGAGAGAGAGAGAGAGAGAGAGAGAGAGAGAGAGAGAGAGAGAGAGAGAGAGAGAGAGAGAGAGAGAGAGAGAGTGGGGGGGGGGGGTAGGTCCCGGAGCAGGGTCCCGGATCAACGTGTTTAGTGTCAACAAACCCCCAGTACATTTGGCTACCTCCGAGCGCCACGGGCATAGCAGGACTGGGGGTCACTGACCGTACCGTGTGTACCTTCACGGTGACGGGGTCCAAGGGGCTCCTCTTCACGGTGACGGGGTACCAGGGGTCCTCCATCACGGTGAAGTGGTCCCAGGGGGCCCGCATCACGGTGAGGTGGTCAAAGGGGCTCCCCTTCAAGGTGAGGTGGTCCCAGGGGCTCCCCTTCACGGTGAGGTGGTCCCAGGGGCCCGCATCACGGTGACGGGGTACCAGGGGCCTTCCATCATGGGCCCCTGGGACCCGTCGGGCCGGGGTCCCAGGAGCCATCACGGTGAGGGGAAGGGTTGTACCCAGGGACACAAGCAATACGGTTCAGAGTGGAGAGAAACATGCTTTCTATCACTGTGCCGCACAGCTGAAGGTCCAGAAGCAGCGTGTAACATTAAATATGTAGTAATCATGCCTAAACATGTAGTGATGAGGCCTAAATATGTAGTGATGAGGCCTAAATATGTAGTGATCATGCCTAAATGTGATCATTGATGAAATATGACAACTCTGTTGCACTGAATATATTGTCGTCCAGCGTCGTGTACTCTCTCTGTAACCCGACGGGTAGGGCTTCCTTGGACGAGAGGTAGAATTACACACACACACACCGTCTGGCTCCACGTGTGTGGCTCCAGGTGCCTGGCTCCAGGTGCCTGGCTCCACGTGTGTGGCTCCAGGTGCCTGGCTCCAGGTGCCTGGCTCCAGGTGCCTGGCTCCAGGTGTCTGGCTCCAGGTGTCTGGTTCCAGGTGTGTGGCTCCAGGTGTGTGGCTCCACGTGTGTGGCTCCAGGTGCCTGGTTCCAGGTGCCTGGCTCCAGGTGTCTGGCTCCACGTGTGTGGCTCCACGTGTGTGGCTCCAGGTGTCTGGCTCCAGGTGCCTGGCTCCAGGTGCCTGGCTCCAGGTGCCTGGCTCCAGGTGTCTGGCTCCACGTGTGTGGCTCCACGTGTGTGGCTCCAGGTGTCTGGCTCCACGTGTGTGGCT